ATTCCTGGTTTCCAGGGTTGGGTGGGAAGGGAAAAGGGGAAGTCATTGCTTGAGGGGCACTGAGCTTCTGTCAAGGGTAATGGAAAAACTTAGAAACAGTCGTGATGGTTGCACAATGTGATGAATGTAATTGTCACTAAATTCTGCACGTAAAAAAATGGCATGGCAAATGTTTTGTTATATATGTTTTTACTACAATTTAAAAAAGAAGTACTCGTTCAAGAAAACACAAAACTTGGGGTCTTAAAAGCCTGTGAGCGGCCATCTAAGATACTCCACTGGTCTCATCTCTTCGGGAGCAAGTGAGAATGAAGAGAACAGGATACAACGAAAAGATTAGTCCAAAGGACTAATTGTCCACAGCTACCAAGACCTTCACCGGACTGAGTCCAGTACAGCTAGATGGTGCCCGGCTACCACCGCTGACTGCTCTGACCAGGATCACAACAGAGGGTTCTGGACAGAGCTGGAGAAGGATGTAGAGCATAATTCTAACTCACAAAAAAAAAAAAAAAAAAAAAGACCAGATTTACTGGCCTAAAGGAGACTGGAGAAACCCCGAGAGTATGGCCGCCAGACACCCTTTTAGCTCAGTGGTAAAGTTACCTTCGATGTTCACTGATCAGCCTACGAGTGGACAGCCCAGTAAAACCATGAGAGTAACGAGGTACAGGAGTCCAGTGACAAGGCCCAGAAGGCAGAAGGGGAGTAGGAAGCTGATGATAGGGAACACAAAATAGAGTAAGGATATTGTTGATGTGTTGTGAGATTGTTAACCATTGTCATAGGGCAACATTTGTAGTAACTGTCAAATGGGAGACTATTTTGTCCTGTAAGCCTTCATCTTAAGTGAGAATAACAGCATAATTAGAAGAGCGTAGTCAATGTCACTTAAATGTGTATGTAAAAAAAAATTTTTGAAATGGGGTATTTTTTGTTTTGTACTTTCACCAAAAAAAAAAAAAAAAAAAAGTTGAGTATTTAGAGGGTTAAAATGTTGTGGGGTTGTTAACCAATGTCATAAAACAGCATGTGTGTTACTGTTACATGAGAAACTATCTGTTCTGTAAGCCTTCACCTGAAGTACAATAAAATATTAAAAAAAAAAAAAAAGAAAACACAAAACTATATCTAGCGGAAAGTAAAAATCTTCTTTACATACTCTACCTCACATCTCTCCCTAGAAGGAACTATTGATTGGACACATATTCCTCCAGACTTCTACTTTTACAAATATATGTGCATGATCTATGTCTTAGTTATCTAGCGCTGCTATAACAGAAATATCACAAGTGGATGGATGGCTTTAACAAAGAGAAATTTATTTCCTCACAGTAAAGTAGGCTAAAAGTCCAAATTCAGGGTCTCAGCTCCAGGGAAAGGCTTTCTCTCTCTGTCAGCCTTCTCATCAATCTTCCCCTGGCCTAGGAGCTTCTCCGCACAGGGACCCCGGGTCCAAAGGACATGCTCTGCTCCTGGCACTGCTTTCTTGGTGGTATGAGGTCCCCAACTCTCTACTTGCTTCCCTTTCCTTTTATCTCTTGTATGATAAAAGGTGGTGCAAGCCACATGCCAGGGAAACTCCCTTTACATTAGATCAGGGATGGTCCCTAGTAAGGGTGTTACAATCCCACCCTAATCCTCTTTACCATAAAATTACAATCACAAAATGGAGGACAACCACACAAAACTGGGAATCATGGCCCAGCCAAATAGATACACACATTTTTAGGGGGGATATAACTCAATCCACGACTCTCTCTTACACACACACACACACAGACATACACAGTCTTTTTACATAAATAAGATCACACTCTATTGCTCTGTTATTTGAATTTTTTGATTAATAATAAATTAAGGGCATCTTTCCATACCTGTATACACAGGTGTTTGTTCAGTAGTTAGAGACTCTGAGGCCAGAGGGTTTGAACCCCAGCTCCCCACTTACTAGCTATGTGATCCTAGGCAAATTACTTAACATCTCTGTACCTCAGTTTCCTCATCTATAAAAATATGTTAATAATAGTAACCATAAGAGCCCTGGTGGCACAGTGGTTAAAGTGCTTGTCTGCTAAGGAAAGTTCAACCAGCCACTCCTTGGGAGAGAGAAGTAGCAGTCTGCTTCCGTAAAGATTTACAACCTTGGAAACCCTGTGCGGCAGTTCTATTCTGTCCTATAGGGTCACTATGAGTCGGAATCAACTCGACAGCAATGGGTTTTTTGGTTTTTTCATAGGATCGTTGTAACAATTAAATAAGTTAATATTGTAAATATTGTAAAGCACCTAGAACAATGTGTACATAGCCAAAACCAAACCAGTTGCGGTCAAGTCAATTCTGACTCCATTTGAGTGTTGGCCATTTTTATTATCTACCCTGTTCTTATCCTATTGTTTGGATGAACCATAATTTATTGAGCCAGCGTCCTAGGTGATTTCCTACTTTTTGCTGCAGTGAGCATTTTTGAACACAAGTCTTTGTATACATGTGCGAGTATTACTCTAGGATTGTTTCCAAGTCATGGAATTGTTGCATCAAAGGTCATACTCATTTTTTATGAAAGATGTTGTCAAATTTCCCTCCAAAAGGCTGCCAAGGATTTATGTGTGACTGTCACCAGGCATCCTCACAACACTGGCGGCCTGGGTCTTTGGCATCCTCATTTTTGCACTCACCTTCCCTAAAAGAAACCTAAATCAAAACCACCAACAATGCATTTGTTAGAGTCCCAGGGACACCTAATCCCTTTCTCTTTTCTAAATGGAATTAGACATTTTCGGCTCTTTGACAGGCCTTCAGTTGCCTGGACACAGCCCTGGGATGTCTGCAAAATACAAATAAAACTCACTTGCTGTTCCCTAACATCCTCCAGAAAAGCTCGAGGAGGCCTGTGTGACGCCCCACCGTTCTGCTCTGCTTTCTATCACATGCAAAAAGATTTTCAATAGCAGCTGGTGTTTTCCTGGGTGGAGATCAGAGCCAGCATTTGTATATAAATATTATCCCAGGGCTCGAGGGAATTGGGCTGGAGGTAGAGGCTGCAACATCCCAATTGCCTTCTTAAAGAACTGGGGGGAAGTAAGCACCTTTATCCTTTCCCTGAGCGCCCCCAGAGAGAGAAGGAGCACCCAGGCACAGGCCCACCCCTTTGGGCAGCTTCTAAGTAAAACAAACAGAACCAGAAGCCAGCGCAGAGTGTGGCTAGAAATCTGCAGAAGGCAGAGAAGCAGGGCCAAGAGGTGGCTCAGGCTGGGGGCTTTGCACACGTCTGGCCCCGTGGCCACCTGCAGCCACCTGGGCCATGGCTCCTGTCACAAAAAGAGAAGATGACCACAGACTGAGGTGGCCCCTCCAGCCTAATCTCCAAGGTTCCATGACACAGAGTTACTTCATGCTTGGCTCAAAGACCCCCAGACTTGAGGGGAGATGTGAGGGGCCTGGTGGGAGCTCTGGCTCGGAGTAGGCCTCCTGGAGTTCTTAGGCAGGAATGTCAATAATTCCGAGGGTTGCTCCCACTAAGCTCTACAAGCCCCAAAGCCATCCATCTTCCAAACTTGTTTTTCAGGCTCACTATTTTATGGCTCAAAACCATTCACCTTTGTTCCTTCCTTCAACTGTCTCCTAGCTTCCCACTCTTCCTAGAGACCCAGGTCGGGGAGGGGGAGAGGCAGGCGCGTCTCTGGAACAGTGGATTCCACGGATCAGAACACATTCCAGGGATGATATCCAGGGACTTGGGCTCAAGTTCATAGTGGAGGGAATAACTCAGATGGTTATCTCAGGCACTCGGAAGTGAGTTAAGCTTCCCCTTCTTATCAGCTCACGTGGGAGAGTCAGCAGGAAGAAACAAAGGACCAGAGACTCAGGTCTTGTTGCCTCTGATAGAGGTCAACTTTGGAGCCAGACACCTAGCTTCAGGTCAAGGCACTTAAACTCTCTGCCTCGGTTTCCTTTTCTTGGAGAGCCTGGGGTTAAACACTCAACACCAAGCACTTAATTAAATCCACACAAGTAGTGGTTGAGTGTAGACTATGTGTTCTAGACACTGAAGAGGACACAGCAATAAACAATCAGCCCAGTCCCTACCGGCATGGAGTTTACATTCCCAGTAAGGGAGACACTATTAATAGTGTGCTTACTACTGGGGAACTGAGGTTTATGCAGGGCAATTAACATGGCCTGCATGTCTTTTTCTCAAACCTCACTGCTCTCACCCGTGAATATTAACAACAGTGAACCAGCAGCAGATTCACTGTGAAGCCAACTGAGCTGAAGCTTCAGGGCCCTCACTGGCTCCAGCCCCTTCCAAGGCCCAGGGAGGGGGCTGGAAAGAAATGTGTTCACACGGTCTTATGTTTCTCTAAAATTTGCCAAAGTCAAGTCTTAACCATAACTGGAAAGAGGCTGGTCTCTCGCCACTCATTTTCTTTCTGTCACACCCCCTGGCCCATCAGGTGATGTCAAAGTGTTCTGGGACATTCAGGGGACCCAGACAAGAAGGAGTTGAGTTTGAGGTACACTGAGTTTGAGTTTAGTGGGATATCCATACACGGTTTGCGGTCAGCTCCATGTGCAGTAGTTGAGTTATTGCCAACCCTCGCAGGGTAGGCGCAATTCCCACAAACGCTCCTGCTACCCAGGTGCCCACCTACCCAGCTCCTGACACTCCGTCCGTGGTTGTAATCCTACAACACCCAACACTGAAGTGTGTAGTTACCCACTGCTGTCGAGTCAATTCTGACTCACAGCAACCCCAGAGGGTTTCCAAGGCCGTAAATATTTATAGACGCAAACTGCCATATCTTTCTCCTGCAGAGCTGCTGGTGGGTTCGAATCACCAACTTTTGGGTTAGCAGTTGAATGCTTTAACCACTGCGCAACCACGGCTCCTTAGTGTGTAGCAGGGGAGAAGAAAAAAGGTTTTAAACATACAAAGTCAAATTCTAGCCTGTGAAAAATGCTGTCAATTATTAGAACCGTAAAACTGTAAGAATGAGGCAGTGGTGGTTCAGTGGTACCATTCTTGCCTTTCATGCAAGAGACCTGGGTTCAATTCACAGCCAATGCACCTAATGCATAGTCACTGCCCATCTGTCAGTGGAGGCTTGTGTGTCGTTCTGATGCTGAATAGGTTTCAGTGGAGCTTCCAGACTAAGACAGACTAGAAAGAAAGGTCTGACAATCTACTTCCAAAAATCAGCCATGAAAACCCTGTGTATCACAACAGTCCAGTCTACAACTGATCATGAGGATGGTGCAGGTCAGGCAATGTTTTGTTATATTGTCCATGAGTTGGGGGCCAACTTGATTGCAGCTAACAACTACAAAACTGATAGAGAAGGATTCAGTTTCCTTTGTCAAAATGGAAGTTCTCTGTCAGAAATATACTCCGTAACACCTGCATATAATTATAATGCACCACAGCTCCTTTTTTTCCATTTTTGATGGAAATCCCACAAAATAGAATTTATCAAAATTCTGGTTTGGGGGGCGTAAACATGTAGTAAATACTACAAACAGTGAGTGCACTATGCGCAAATTTTCTCATTTTTTGCAGCTGAACTATCAATAATAAAACACAAGTTTTGATCAACCATGCTAGAGGAAAGGCTGAATTATCTTTTATTCTCTCTACAGAAAAGTATTTTAGAAAATCATTATCGTATGAAGAAGTGATCAAAGAGTATGAAGCCAAAAAATGTAGGAACCAAAAACATTATATAGGTGTATCAGGCAATTCATTAATAAAAATATTTTCTTATCCTTCTGGATTTTGTAATATTTGAGGTATTTATTGGCCTTTAACACCAAAAAACCCAAACCCATTGACATTGAGTGGATTCTGACTCATGATAACCCCATGTGTTACAGAGTAGAATAGCTCCATAGGGTTTTCTTGGCTGTAATCTTCATGGAAGCAGATCACCAGGCCTTTCTTCCTTGGCATTGCTGGTTGCGTTCAAACTGCCAAACTTTAGCTTGCACCAACCTTAATATGTGTAAATTGTTAGAGCTCTTTTCTCATTCTAAACGAATATTCATTTTTCATCACTAATACTAGATTCCTAATTTTGTATTATTTATCCTAAAGACGGCCCTTAAGTTGTGTAAGTTTCAGGCCCCATAAAATCCTGATCTTTCCAGCCAAACAATGGACAAAAACCCATTACTGTCGAGTCGATTCCAACTTATAGTGACCCTATAGGAAGAGTAGAACTGCTCCAGAGGGTTTCCAAGGAGTGGCTGGTGGATTTGAACTGTAGACATTTTGGTTAGCAGAGGAGCTCTTAACCACTGTGCCACCAAGGCTCCACGAAAGCCCATAAAATAAACAATAACACCTGAGAGGAATGTGTTCCTTGGAACAATCAATTATATGAGATCAAAATGGCAATATTTGCCCAAAAGCAAAGATGAGAAGGCAGGAAGGGGCAGAAAATCAGAAAGAAAGGAAACGGGGAACCCAGAGTGGAAATGAGGAGAGTGCCGACATGTTGTGGGGAATGAAGCCAAGGCCATGAAACACTTTACGTACAGACTATCGAATGGGAATCTGATTTGCTCCGTAAGCTTTCACCTAATGCACAATAAAAAATAAAAAACTAAAATTAAAAGAAGGATGAATGGTGGACATGTGACATTATGCACTTGTCAAAAACTTTAAGACTGGACAACACAGTGAACCCCTAAAGTGAGCTATGGACTTTAGTTACTAATAATGTATCAACGTTAGTTCACCAATTGTAACAATGTACCACTAATGCGAGGTGTTAATAACAGAAGAAACAGTGCATAGAATGAGGAGGGGGCATACCAGAACCCTCCGCACTTTCTACACAATTCTTCTGTAAACCTAAAACTGCCCTAAAAAATAAAGTCTAAAATTTAATAAAAAATAAAACAAACTCCAAGGTGTTTAAACACTCAAAAAAAAAAAAAAAGCCCTGACCCTCCCTGCAGCCACCATGTTCTGAGCGGTTAGGATGTGCCAGGAACTCCGGTAGGGCCCTTCGAGTGAAAAATCTCGCTTATTCATTCAGCCCACCGAGGAAAACTGAGGCTTGGAGAATTTATTCTACACAGTAAAGTTCATTCTGCAGGCTGTAGCAAGGATTAAAAGTGGCACAGCACCCAGAGCAGCACCCAGAGCACAGAGTTTAATAAATAGTAACTATTATTACAATTTGCTGTGTAGTCTCTCTGAGTCCAAATTTCCTCATATTTAAAGTTGAAGGGGTAGAAAGAGATGCAAGTATTTGTGCTTACACAGAGGACATCTGAAGAGATACACAGAAAGTTGGTAATAGTGGCTGCCTCTGTGGAGGGGAACTGAGGGTGAGAGGGAGATGCACACCCCTCATACTTTCCAATTTTTAAACAAGTTAATATATTAAAAGTACTTGGCACTATGTCTACCACATCGTAGGTGCTCAATAAATATTAGCTATTGCTATAGTTATTATTATTGCCAATTAATTTAATCAATTAATTAAAAAAATGGAGAGGTGGGACCTGATGTCTAAAGTCCCTTTCCGCTAGACTTTATTTTAGGTAAGAGTCCAAGCACTTACCCATGCCAGGGGCTCTCATGCACTACTGCAATGAATACTCCCTGCATCTCTATTAGGTAAGTAGTATTCTCATCCCCATTTTCCAACTGTGGACACAAAAGTTAAATAATATATCCTAAGTTATATAGCCAGTGAGGCAGAGGTGAGGATTAACACCTAGGCTGACTGACTCAAATATGGCCCAGCTTCACTAGACCACCACTACATAAGTGTCTCCGATTGCTGAGGGCTTCTGGCCATAACTGTCTAATAAAGACTTGTCACATCACAGCTGTGTGACCTTGAGCAGGTCGTCTTACCTCCTTGATTCACAGTTTCCTTATCTGTGAAATGAGAATGTTGTTGTTCGCCATTGAGTGGATTCTGACTCATAGCAACCCTATGGGATAGAGTAGAACTGCCCCATAGGGTTTCCAAAACTGAAATCTTTGTAGGAGCAAGTCACCAGGTCTTTTCTCCCACAGAGAGGCCAGTGGGTTCAAACTGCCAACGTTTTGGTTAGCAGCTGAGGGCTTAATGACTAAGCCATCAGAGCTCCTTAAAATGAGGATAAAAACTCATAAATGTTTCTGTATGATGAAGTATGAACCTCGACCCCCACCCTAGATTGCAAGTACCTTGAAGAGAGGGACCAGCTTGACTCATTCCTTCAAGGTGCCTTCCTTACCCCAAAGAAGGGGCCAAGCACATATTTGCACATTTAAAGCAGAATTGAGTAGTGCAAAAACAGTATGGGTTATGGGACCATCCAGACCTGGATTCAAATCCTGTCCCCTCCAACTTCCTATTAGGGCAACTTTCAGAGCTTGGCCATGACTATTGTCATAAAGGTAACAATGCCTCCAGGGTCGCCATATTGCAAAACTCCAGGGGGAGCCGTTCATGGTGTATTCATAGAGTGAGTAACACTGGGACCCTGCTATTTCATGGGGTGGTTATAAGGATTCAGGGGCACAATGAATGCAGAGGGTCTAGGACTGGGCTAGCTCAGAGTGAGCACAGACAAATATAAGCTAGAAATGGCATAAGCATTTGGCTGCTAACCAAAATGTCGGCAGTTCGAATCCACCAGCCACTCCTTGGAAACAGAGTTCTACTCTGTCCTATAGGGTCGCTATGAGTCAGAACCAACTAGATGGCAATGGGTAGAAAACTAACAAAACACCGGACTAAGTCCACAACAGACTATGGAAAAGCTTGAAGAACTTTGCTAATATGCAGAGATAACATCATAAGTTTGTATTTTCAGAGACTCACTCATTTTTCTTGTTCATCCAGGAAAGAAAGGCTTTATGAACGCCTTTTTTTTTAATCAAAAATTATCAAAGATATATTAATTTTTAACAATTCCCTCCCCCAAAACTGGTCTATTCACACAAATGAATCCCTGATCTTCATTTATATTGACAGACTGCAGAGCTGACACAGACAGTGTTTGTTTTCCTTTTCAACTGTCCCTTCACTCTAAGAACTCAATGCTTGCTGTAATCACCTTTTTAAGGGACCCGGGTCTTTCTACTGTAAATTAAAATGTATTGTAACCACGCTGTGGACTCCGAAAATGTGCTCCTACCAGCACTTCACCCCTCTGGGCAAAGAGGCCAAGTGGTCCCGTCTTGAAGATTTGAAGGAAGAACCTCAGCAGCCATCTCAGTCCTGAGCCAACAAGACCAAGAACCCACCCTCTACCTGGGAAGTTTTAGAAAACAAGTTCTGCTTTCTTCTGCAAACTAGTCTGCCTTTCTTTAAAAAGAGCTCATCTATGTGGGGCTAACCACGCTGTAACATCTGTATTTAATCTGCATTTACACGGATAGGTTTACTTCGGGAGCATCTCCCTGTACCAGGGAGAAAAGTGGTCCCATGCCGTGAACCAGAGAGGGAGAAACAAGAGTTAGACTGGTAGAAGAGAAAGGCACCAGGAATCAGAATGCCAGCATTCCGCTCTTGACCTTGCTACTTTAGAGCTGTGCCTTGGCAGATCTCTTGACCTCCCTGAGCCCCATTTCCTTATCTTTAAATGGGGATGAAATCACATCTCCTGTCTACCACAAGAGGATTGTATCAATAACCAGTATATTCCCTCCCTACCACCCTCACCCAAGCAGAACATTGCTGCCACTCCAATCACACAGCACCCACAACGATTCAGCTGAAACAATGACCAAGTCATGCAAGGGTTGCAAAGCCCTGGGGGCACAATGGTGAAGCATTCTGCCAGTAACCAAAATATCAGCTGTTCAAATCCACCATCAGCACTGGGGGATCTGCTCCTGTAAAGATTACAGCCTAGGAAACCCTATGGGGCAGTTCTCCTCTGTCACGTAGGGTCACTATGAGTTGGAATCAACGCCACGGCATACAAAACAAGCAATGTAAAACTAGGCAAGGGGGTGTAGCAGACACTGTTGGTGCCTCTCCCAGATCCCTTCTGCCAGTTTTGTGCACTCCTCTTTGCTTCTGTTTCAACAGTCCAAACCTTCAGCCCTGTTATGCT